TAAAATCAACAGGAAGTTTACTCAAAGTCTGGGCACAGGTGACGTCTTACAGCGCTGGTATCAGAGAGACAGAGCTCCCGCAGGAAATCCATTCTCTGAACCACGAGCGACATTATCTTCTTGGGCTGGTCCACCCTGGACCTGGTACAACATTTCACACTTTGTAATCCTATTGGCCATTTGGCGTGAGCGGGCCAACCTCTGCTCATGCCTGCTTGCTGAAATGTGATCTCAACCAGGTGTGTGTGTGTGTGTGATTTTCAGGCGGCAACTTGATCAATGAACACTGAACAATGGGTTGTCTGCGCTGCAGACCCCCTGTGTGTGTGATTTTATTGCAGGACAAAGCAGGACCTAGTGAGTATGCTAAACGAGCCAGGTGGTCATCTCAGGTTGTAGGCCCCCTGTCTCTGCAAGATACCACATGACAGGGCAGAACTTGGAATATGCTAAGCGGGTCTAGGTGAAGGTGCAAAACAGGCCAACAGGTCTTTGTTAAAATGTAAAATAGGCTGTCTGGTTACATGAAGATACAGGCATCCTGTCTCTACAGAATTTGCAGCATACAGTTCCAAAGTTTCACTCAGTAGAATACAGCAGTCATCAATACAGTTTTAATATGTATAAGCAAGGAAAATAAAGGTATGAAAAGTAACTAAAATAAAGTGAAGAACTGAAAAGTAACTAAAGGAAACTAAAGTTATGAGAAGTAACTAAAGGTTATAAAGTAACTAGAGAAAAGAAAAGCAACAAAACAGCAAACAATCAAACACTGGGCAGGTTGATGTGGCCAGTGACTGCTCAACAGAATCGTAGAACTTCAGAGCCAGGAAAACCTGCAGAAAGGTACAGGGGAGAGAGAGAGGACATACTATGGGAGAGGAGATACATGGTTAATGACATGTAATGGGGGCAAATAAATGCATGGAGTGGAGAGGAGAGGACCTCAGAGCATCATGGGGAACCCCCAGCAGTCTAGGCCTATAGCAGTGTAACTAAGGGAAGGCTTAGGGGAGCCAGCCCTAACAATACGCTTTATCAAAAAGTAGTACTGGAGGCTAGGTCTATGCCATCTAGAGTAGAAGTAAGAAAATACAGGTAATCCTGGCCTTTATTTCTTTAAAACATACTTGAAGTTTGACCAATTGATGTTTCATCTGGGTTCACAAAGAGACATAACAGAATATCATCTGTGTAGAAGTGTAAATTTATGCTGTTTCCTAATAATATTGCCTGAGGCAAGCAAGTATAAAGTGAAGAGAACTGGGCCAAGCACTGAACCCTGTGGAACTCCATGACTAACTTCAGTCTGAATGGAAGATTCATCATTAACATGGGCAAACTGGATTCTTTCTGATAGATAAGATTCGAACCAATGTAGTGTGGTTCCTTTAATCTCAATAGCATGTTCCTGTTTCTGCAATAAAATGTGATCAGTGGTGTCAAATGCAGCACTAAGATATAGGACAAGCCATTGTCTAAGGCTAGAAGATCTTCGGATGTTTTTCTTTGGATGTTTCCCACAAGTGAACAAAACATATGCACAGTGGATGTGCAAACTCCCCATGACCCCTCCAGTAGCCTTGTAAAGATAAAGAGTTGGTTCACTGTCCCACAACAAGGCAGGAATCCATATTGTTTCTCCTGATTCTGAGGTTCAACAACCAGTCTGAGGCTTCTTTCTACTACTCTGGCATAAGCTTCCCCAGGTAGGATGTGCAGTGTGATACCCCAGTAATTGGTACACACCCTCTGGTCACCCTTTTTAGATATGGAGACCATCAGTTTCCATTTCCCCAGGTATGACACCCATCCTCCATTCAACATTGAAGAGATGTCAGCCAGGACTCCCCCACAATGTCCAGAGCTTTCAGCATCTCAGGGCGAATCTCATCCGTACCTGGTGCCTTCTCAACTACACCTCAGAGACCTCTGCCAAAGATTTGAGTGCCCTGAATCTTCACACTTTGCCTCATGTTTGTTGTGTTCAGGAACTACCAAAAAGTGTTTTCTTCCACTCCCTGATGGCATCCCCAGTCTGAGTCAGCAGGTCTCCCCCTACTAAACCTGCTGCCTTCATGTCCTGACTACCTGATAAGCAGTTGATAATGGATGGATGGACAGTAAAATTTATAGTTGACTGAGGAAATAAAGCAGTTTGTCTATAATTGCAGCTGGTAACATATTCACTTTACTACAGGGAATGAGGCTGCCCTGAGAACAGACACAGACATGAGGTGAATAAGATGCCACATTCAAAGCATGTATTATTCTGTACACAAAACACAAGGACACAAAGAAGACTATGCTTTTTTGGAAGAAATTATCTATTTCAGTGTATTCTTTCAACATACATTATTAAAGAGCCTATGAAAAATGACAGGAAAAAAAAAGTAAACTGGAATGATTTAAAGGCAAGATTTTTATATATGACAACATAACTAAACAGTGATAAAAAAAAAAGATGCAAATCAAAGTGAAAAGACACGGTTACTGATCAGGTGATCAGTCCTCACAGTTACTCCACATTTTATACCTGAGTAGACTTCAGATTTTTTTTCTGCCTCTTTGTGACAAATTGACATTACAAGTGCAAGCAAAAATACTTTAACTGTGCATAAACCTTCTACATGATACTTAGGAAAATAGAAAATAATGCAAATCCATGATACTGTAGATTAAAAAAAAGTAGGGACCCTTTAGTCAAGTCACCTTTAAATGTGAACTCCGTGCTTATTTTGTGGCATCATACAGAACTTATTAGCACTCTTAAAAAGGCACATCTCTCCCTAAATGTATGTAAAATACACATTATTCCCCACTTCAGTACTGTCTGTCATGATTGTAAACTTCATTTGAGGGATTTAACAAACAGGTGGGGGGTGGGGATCAACCCAGTCCATCTCGTCTTCATTGTCTTTGTCCATGTTCCTGCTTGTAGGCAACAACGAACTTCCAGGCTGCAACACAATGGGACAGGCAGATCTCATCTGGGAAGAGCTCCTCCACATCAGGCGGGATGTCCAGTCCTTTCCGCTCCATGTAAGACACCAGCGTGATTTTCAAGCTTTCAGAGAAAAATCCATGCAATTTAAATCAGTAATCTGACATTGTTAATACAAATCATGATACTCACACACACACAAAAGCACAGATGTTTTTAAATTCCTTATGTCACCTATATAAACTTCAAATAGGTTCAATGAAATACGTTGCACTATAGTTATATGACTGGATGGGGTGATAACGTAGCATTGAGGCTGATGACCAGAAGTACATTTGAAGAAATACTGACATAAAATGTTGAGTTACTGTTACTTAATAGTATTTACAGAGGTACAGTGTTCCATCTTCGTGGGTTCATAGAAATTTTCTTTGTTCCCAAGCCCAAACAAATAAAAGCAAGTTTTGTCTGTGACTTTGCTGAAACAACCAGCCAATATATAGAGAAAGCCAACACTGACCAAACTAAACTTCGATTTGGTTGCATGTAACATATTAAACACTTTGGAAAACACACTGCTTTCCTTTAGAGCAAAAACACAACATGTCTGGAGTAATTTCTGTTTCTATTTAAGTGTTTGCTTCCCTTTTTATTTTTACATAACACGATTATAAAAAAGTCATTTTAATCACAGCTTCCAAATATTGTCTCTGCTTTTTCAAACTCGACATTCAATTTAGACGCCATCTCAAATTTAAAGCTGTATAGAACTGTTTAAGGATTAGCAAATCACAAAGAATTCAACAAAAAATATTTTTACCCCCAGTCAGGCCTGTAGGTCTCCGGTGCATTGGGCATTTTAAGAACCAGCACAAGGAACTCGTGCATCTCCAGCAGGAAAGTGTCAGCGCTGCTCTTAGAGAAGAAACCAGTCAGTAGTCTGCGCTCGTCCTCACCCAGAACCTGTTTGTATTTCTCTGAGACTCCTACAAATGGATCCTGGAGAAAACAAGCAATGCACAGAGCAGGCTAAATAACAGTCACAGATGACTGCTACTGCAAACATAAATAATACAGTATCTTTTTATACCCTCTTGAGCCGCAGCAAATTTTCTGATTTCAGTGAGGCCAGCAGCTGCCACAGTTCCACACAATGCTTTAGACAGCACATGCTCAGGGTCTGTAGGTAAAAGAGGACAACAATAAATCCTATCAAGCACAAAGAACTTTAAGTTAAGAGATTATTGATTTAAAGTTTAAATATGAACACTAGAAGCCAGATAACAAACAAGTTGTTTTTGGAAAATTGCCTGTATACAAAGTAACCAAACTGTCCAGACTGGCTGTTTTGTGGAAGTGAGACAAAGTACAACAGGACAAAATAACTGGTGCCTCAGATATGCTGACCTTGAGGATATGCGGAGCTGTCTGGTCTCCCATCTGCAGCACCTCCTCCAAGTAGCAGGACAGCTGCATGTGAGGATCTCCACCAGTCATGGCAAGGAAACCAAGGGCCACTTCCAGTGTAGACAAAGCCTCACACACCTCACTATAGGAGTGGAGCTCTCCAGCCACAGCAAACAGGGTGAGAGTCTGAAGAGGCTCCTGTTAGCACACAAACATAGGTCACACACACTCATGAGAAGCTATCTACAACAACAGGTGTGACAAATGACCAGTAATTCCAGTGAACTACCTACTTGCTTGACTTTAGCCTTTACATCCTTTAGTATAATCTCATAGTTGCGATCATGTCTGTTCACGAGTGTTGGAATGCCCTGTGGTAAAATAAAGGACAGAGACATGAGAGAAATAGTGTCTGAACAATTTTACACAAATCTTTGGGAGAAGCCACTGTGCTCTTCATTTGCTCACATTGAGAGTGATGAGAGGTTTGCCCAGCAGGAAGCGGGAAACAATCTGATGCTGGATCTTGGGCAAGTCATACTCATGAAGGGTCTCCTGGCCCTTCTCAATACTGTACTGGGTGTTGGACAGAACCAGAGGCATCAGGTCCCTCTCCAGCTCATACCGAATCACATGTATGTCAGTCAGGTCTGCGGGGCTCACTTTGTAGCTGGGGGAGCGATAAACAGACCAGTTAGCTAAAGGACAGGGCATCTGTATTATGGTAGTTTAACTGCCTTTTATGTTTTTAACTCTTTCTAATCTTGACTTTGAGATTAAAGGAGTTTAATCTCTATCCTTTTAACAATCTCTTGACTTTGTGATTAGAGGAGTTTAATCTCTATCCTTTTATCAATCTCTCAGTCACCCCAATGAACACATTTAGTATTTGGGGAAAAATCTCACAGACCGTCTTCTTTCAGGCAAACATGTGCAAGTGAGAAAAATGTGGCATGAGCGCCCCCACCTGGTCTCCTCTCCAGTGTGTTTATCCACACAGTAGATCATGTCATTGTGCAGGGCAATGAGGTAGCTGACAAGAGCTGTAGAGCACAGGCCTGGGCCTTGTCGCCGTGGTAACAGCACCTTGAAGTCACTGTTGAGGTCCAAGTCCTTCTGGCAGAACTCAGCTGGGATTTTAATTTCACCTGAAAGACAACATTGTAATCTAAATTAGATCACGGGGTTGGGCAGGTCAGTATTAGCGTAAGTTGTATATACTTTTAGTTTCTGTATTTACCGTTGGTTGCCAAGGACACTCTGAGCTGATTCCAGGTTGTCAGGAAGATTTTAACATGCTTCTCATACCAGGCTTTCAATGAAGCTGCACACATGAAGAAAGCAAGTTACATTCAAAATGAGCACATCACCTAGAGACCAGACTTACAGTACATTGGATAAACTGACTATAGCATATTAAGATGTGCAGTACTTCAGTAGTTCACTCAGTGCCTCTCAGAGACTACGCTCTGTCCAGGTTAAAACAACTCACTGCTTGGCAGGCAGGACTTGAAGATGTATGTTAGCAGCTATTTTACTATGCAATTTCTGAGAAAGGTAATTAGGAGTTGCATGGAACTTTATATCTCTAGTGTACAGTGAGTCATACAGTCAGTACATGAGTCATACAGTACATTAAAAAAGCTGAAAACCACTATTGTGGACAGTTTCAATACCTGCTTTCTGACTGTGGAGGAATTCAGCTATGGTACCACAAGTCAGCTCAGTGATGTTTTGAAACTTCTTGACCAGATCTCTCTGGAGTGTGAGGATGTCAGGAAGGTGCTTCACAAGTCGCAGCTCTGCTTCCTAAAAAAAGAAAAAGGTTCTGTGTTCAGCACAATTTCCTTAATAATAACAACAACCACCATAACAATAATACTTTATATATGAAAGTTCTATTTATAGCAGCTCATCAATCCTAAAGTCATTATGTACCTATATCTCTATGCATTCTCTTTAAAATAAACATTTTAAGGAAGAATAAACAGGATACAGGTACAATGGACTAAACATAACTATCTGTAAGAATAAGCACAAGGTACTCATTGTACAAATAGCACCTAATACGTCTATGATGCACTGTTTTAAGGGTAAGTTTTCCAAAATCTGCTATAAGTACAACACAGAGCTCCTTAACTGTCTTGCATGTTCCGTCACTGATTCCTTACCTTGTGCAAAAATCTCCAGAGTACAGGCAGGGTGTCTTTGCCATCATTCTGCTCGACAATGTGGGTGAGGCTCAGCAGAGACACTTTCTCTCTGCAGCTCCAAATGGCAGAACCATGGATTAGAGAATCTTTGGGAAGTGAGGCCAAGAAGAGATGAGGATTGCCAAACATTAGTTTCATGATTGGATTGGCTGAGATGCGAGAGTCAGCCCGGATAAATGCGTTCACTTCCTTTAGTTGTCGATCCAAGTGCTATGGAGGAGAAAATGACAGAAGATAACAATGCGTTATTTGCAGATTTCTTTCAAACAGTCATAATTGGTTCCTGAAATTAGACTATGTTCTTTATTTGTTCTTGTTTAGAACAAATGTATAATTAAAAACATTTCTACCTTCAGCTGAGGTGTAATGATGGCATTGCTCACTTCCATTTCCCATTCATTTCTGGCCTCTTTGGTGGAGAGCTGATTGTCATAAGGAACAGGCCCTGAAAGGAGAGACCAGCTGTGCTTAACAGTGGAAGGTAACCCAGTAAATGTAGTGCTGAGCACATCATTTACAGCTGTTTTACTACAGTAAATGTACAGCACTTTCTACTTTCCTCTGTTTTGCCACTGTCATGCCGGCTACAGTGAGCAGAACATACAATATACAACAAAGGAGTGTAATGTTCACAAGCAACTTAACAGCAAGAAATGTAACCACACCACAGCAATTTTCAGATACGAATAATTTAGTTTACATCATTATGTCTCTCCAAATATTCACACAGCACATATTAGTTTTAGGGTATTGCTACTTTAAAAACTTTGCTGTGAGATGTGCCTTACATTTTTGTTGCTGGTGGGGCTGTAGGAGGCTGCTGATGACCAGGTGAACAGTGCTAACTGTGTCGTCTGTCCCCTTGCCCAGAGATCTGATAAGATGCTTCAAGTCCTTTCGCAGGTGAGAAAGCAGAATGGTTCCTGGG